ATACCTTTGCTGTTTACCATGCTATCTCTCTGATTATAGGCTCAAAGGCTGCTATAAAGCTAGCAGAAGTAGGCCAGTTTTCCATTCCTCCTTCTAGTGCTCGTTGATCAAAGTTTACTATTTATTGCATTGCATCATTAATATTTTACAATAGCAATAACATTGTTATTAGTTTGCTGTTTGACATAGTACTATATTAATTAATTGATCTGCTTTATCTATCTGACTATATCAAAGAGCCTGTAGCTACACTAATGTAAGATTGTTGTTTAGAGTGGCCTCTCACTCATACTGTAAATTTGAACTAATTATATTCAAGTTCTAAATATACACACGGGGCTAATTAGTAAATGTTTTTAGCTGAAAGAGGCATGAAAATTACTGTGAGAAAAGAAGCTAAAAAGCCTGAACACTTTTTAGCAAAAATATATGATAGGTAAAATTTGGAAATAAGAGTAAAACAAAGTCACTTTTTTTTAGTAAATCTTGTTGTAAAAAGTTAATCTGCTCACAGCAAAAAGAGGTGCAAATACCACTAGACTATCTATATGTAGAGTAATACATAATGTATTCTATTGATATATATATATATATACATCTAGTATCTATCCACTCAAATAGGAGAGCCAACTTTTATCACAAAAGAATTATAATGCATCTACACTGTTGTTGTATCTGAGACGTCCAGCTGATGATTTGCCTGTCTCGTTATCTCGACATAATGCGCCTCGCATCATGGTTCCTTTATTTAGATACAAAGCGTCCAGAGCACTCTGCTATGGCACTAGTTCACTCTCTGCTATGTTTGTTCCTCCCCCCATGCTTACAGACCAGTATTATTAGATATGACTCCATTAGGAAATAGTTTAGATATAAAAGAACATGTAGTATTATTCTTTGAATTTATTGTTGATTACTCGTGAATCCCCTGCCTGCACGATTCTACTCACGATAGGTTATGAGCCCCATGCTCTAATCATTGGTCACCGACATCACTGCAGGGTCATTTCGAACCTCTTTCCACTGTTGATCAAATCTTGATCAACTCTGTGTCACACATCGTCCAGAACGAACCCTATCTAGGCGCCACCGTAGATCAGCGTTCTTGAGAGTATGGACAGTATCCTTAAGATTGAAGCCTTGAAAGGCTTGAAAAATTATTTCTCCTAGAAAGTTCAAGTCCAGGATATTCTCACCGAGGCTGGAGTTGTTAACTACCCAAAAAGCATCGAGACGGCCCTTACAGATGAAACAGGGCTTGCAGCATGGTGGATTAAGGACCGCAAGGTCCTGAGCATAATCTGTCTCCAATGTTCCTCTGCCATCGTTGTCTATGTTGCCAACAGCACCACCTCGAAGAAGGCATGGGACACCTTTCAGAACACCTACGCAAATGTCAGTGTCATGTTGAGGATCACTGTACTGAAGAGGCTGCAGAAGGCAGACATTGCAGAGGGAGTGGCCATGGAACCAGCTATTCAGCAGCTATCTCAGCTGCATCAACAGCACAACTCAATGGGCAGTCTCATGACTGATCAGGAGTTTGCCCAGAATATCTTAGCTGCGCTTCCTTCATCTTGAGGACGTCCTTGAGTTGGACGTCCCGAATGTTCCGGATTCCGGGTTCTGAACGTAGATAAGCGCTTCCAATTAGACCATATGTAGTAATAAACCAATTTGGGGGTTGATTGATCGTATCGAAATTTCTCCAAAAGCAGCAGCAATGATAGACGCCTGTACAAAATTGGCATTCCGAATCGAAACGAGTGCAGCCCCTAGAAGGCAATGCAAGAAAGGAAGGCCGGCGGCGAGGAGGGAAGGAATCAGAGGCGGAGCAGAAGGGGAGGGCCAGAGGCGATGCCGTACGCAATGTACCTAGCTAGTTCATACCACACCATGAACAATCTACATGAGTTACCCCAAGCTCTCCAGCAGCATGAGGGCCTGCTGGGCACGCTGTCCCTCGTGCACATATACACCTTTCTGCGCCATACCACTTGGCTCAAAGATCACATCCTCCTCGTTCAACCAGCAACTGTCTCGCCTGGCATTCTGCCCAGCTACCTATTGCCCATCCTAACCAAATTCTTATTAGTCTCGACAAGGCTCAGTACAACCAACGTGGCGCAGTGCTGGGGCATCTTCAAGCACCTGGTCTGAGATGCTGAATATATGGCAATGCTTGGAGAGCATCCAATGGACACATTCAGGCGCTTTGGTTGCCCATTCGGTCTGAGTATATCCTGCGGCCTCATCTTATCGGAGCGTTTCACTCACTCCCTAAAGCTAGGATGACTCTCTACCCGCCGCAACACTTTTGCGTCAATATAAACTGTCGTGGCATCTCGGTATTGAAGAAGGAAGAAGTGCGACAAGTACTGCTCTTTACTCTCGATAGGGGCGTTCTTCCTGCAGAGTTGGTTCATCTCTATTGCTGACGTATGTCGTCCTCCAGGCCTCTTCTGAATCTTAAGCTCTCTGATCTATATTCTGCAGTTTGCAACATGAGCTACCAGCACAAATACTCGGTCTACAATGGTGTTCAAACGTACTACCTCTCGACCTCTGGTGCGATTCAGGTCGGCGAACATCAGTTTATCGAATGCCATCTCATAGAGTTCTAGATCAACTTGATGATAACCTGCTGGTATGTATTTATCTCCTACTTCCGCTTCCGAGCTGAATGCATAACATTCCCAGGACTTCGGCGACTAGGTGCTCAACCGTCCATAACGACGTGCTCGGTCAGATCGGCCGCCATCTCCCCTTTCCTCAGGATTGGCTGTTTGATCCTACGCTAGGGGTTGAGCACGTTTGGAGCGCATTCACGCTATTCTGTCTCCGTGACCATTATTGTCAGCGCGGAATCCAGCTCCAGCTCCCACACTCCGGTACTCAACAAGATCGGTTCACTGCAGCTGTCTGTTTCTGCAATGGTACGATCTGGTTAGAAGGCCTCCCTGACGTTGCTCACTACTGCAAGAAATGCATGAGGTTTCAGACTGATGACCGGGGTATTATTACCGGTGTGTACATGTATATTGCGTTCTTAGCCGACGTCTTGGCTAATGTCCTGTCTGTGACTAAATAAGACGCAGTGCGTGGTCGTCGACAGGGTGACGATCGGGCATCCTTGCTGCTCCATTCACACTTGCCATGAGGGTCTTGAAAGTCAACGCCACAGGTTCTGTCCAATGCACCACCATTTAGACAATGTTTGCATGGTCATTGGCTGCGACCGTCCTGTAGCTGAGGGTTGTCGCGTGTGCGACGATCCTGTTCACTTGAGTGTGGAGGGCCTGCATCACCTCCGCGGTCAATCGCGCTTCAGCCTTGCTGAGACTCTGGAGCGCACTCAAAGGGTCAATGATGCTGCCACCGCCAGGCCAACAGAATCCAAAGACCCTGAGGAGTACGATTCGGCTGAGGTCATGTTGGAAGAGGACTTCGTAATAGGCAGAGGTGGACAGGCTGTGGTGTGTGCCTCTCTGCCTCTCTGCCTCACTCTATTCCTGATGGTCGTATTTGAATAAGCGCATTGTTCGTTTCGAGGCTATTTTGACGTGGAAGGCACACAAGACTGAGGCTCAGGCTGCGCTCGACACACTCTCTGCGCATCTTGGAAAAGGCTCTTCTGCTACATCGACCACTGGCAATGCTCTGCTGCGCAGGTCTGCAGGTGGTCGGAATCATGATGGTGCAAAGGTGCGAGCACAGTTTGATTGCAAGCGGACTCACAACAAGCAAATCATTGTCGCGCCTTGCAGCATGATCATCACCCATGCCACGTTCTTTTGTGCAGAGGCTATAAGCTCTGTGGCAGTCTGTATGTATATGTGCCCTACCTAGCCATCTTCTTTTCTCACAGTGCTTCATTTTGTCAGGAATTTATCAAACTCACATACGCTGGCAGGCCATTCAAACCTGAGCATGTCTACTTTGACAGCAACTGCATCCTGCAGCAATTCATCGATTGGGTGGGGGATCTGTTCTTTCATGATATCAACCTCTCTGTTGACGCCTTTCACTTTAGGACGAAGCACAAGAAAAGCGACATGTTCTGGCAAGAGTACTGTAACCCAGCCTCGTTCCCCGAGCTCAAGGCACCGGATGGCAAGTGGTACTTCAATTCATCTATTGCTGAGCAAATGAACATTTGGCTTGCCAACTACAATTTGATGTGTTGGGAGATGCGCGCTGATAGACACAACTTCTTCTTAGATGAGATGATCATGCGCCAGAACAGGAAGATTCTCACCAAACTAGCCAAGGGCGATCAAGCACCTGGTGTTTGATCTGCGACTGACTTCTAAGCTTCGCTATACTGGTGTATTAAGACTATAATATGAGTGAATGGGGGGATTGTAACATAAATGCATTGCGAGCACTATTATATAACCACATGGCTAACTTCTGCGATGCACTTATTGACGTGATCATATGCACATGTCTGAGTATAGGGCACCTCAGATTCCAACGCTTCAGATTTCTGTTACGGTCTCCTCCCCTGTGCACTGTAGAATTGCGAATATTTCAGTGTGATGCTCTCCAGAATAGAGCCACATGACACACTGAAGATGATGCGAGGAGTGGGTGCTCCTGCAGGGCAAACTTGCAGTTGAGACTGAGGGCAATATACAACGCAGGACAACGTGAGGAGCGGTTGACTCCAGAAGAGTGCGAGGAGATGATTCTCCAGCACTCGTCGGCCTTTACACAGACTGGAATATTTCTCAGCCATGTATCAGTAAGGAAGAAGGCAGAGCGCAGGAAGATATTCTCCAGCACTTGTCGGCCTCTACGCAGACTGGAATATTTTGCAGCCACGTATTGGTAAGAAAGGAGAGTGCGTGGGTGGGACAGAATATATTGGGCAGAGTCACATGTTGATGGTGCACAGGCTGATGCGCTGCCCTCCATATCAATTCTGCCTCTAGGCTTGGCGTTTGCATCAGCACGTGGTTCTCCCTGATATATAGCGTGCCGCCCGCGCACTTTTCTTCCTTACTGATACGTGGCTGCGAAATATTCCAGTCTGTGTAGAGGCCTATGAGTGCTGGAGAATTATCTTCTTGTGCTCTTCCCGGATATACGTGACGCAGAATATCTCGCCACGTATGGCCTGCCGTGCAGCAAACACCATTGAAACATGCTTCCATACAAGTGCTGGAGAATTATCTCCTTGTGCTCTTCCTGAACATATGTGATGCAGAATATCTTGCCACGTACGGCTCGCTGTGCAGCAAACACCCTCGAAACCCGCTTCTGTACAGAGGTGAGGAAGCACTGTCAGACAGATGTTGGCATCTATGCTGACACTGTTCTGTCAAGACTATATTATATGTCGCCCACAACAGTGTTCGTACGTGGGAAGGATGACAACTACGACGTGTATATCTCGCCGGATAGTGGGTTTATGCCTGATGCTCCCCCAATGGATCAGCCATACCTCACTCCCTACAGCGCATGCAATCACCGCTGGGCAAACAATGACTTCTTCTACACAATATTTGTTCCTGAGGGAAACTCGTATGATGATTTGACCCTGCACACATTGGACCCATTGTTGTCGCCTATTGAGGATGTTTCTGAAGATGGGAACTGTTGCACGACGTACAGACTTCCTTTACGTGCAATTGAAGAATGGAACTCACTTGAACACTTCTTGGTGGAGTGCAAAATGCACGTGAGCTCATGGGGGGCTCTTCTTCACCCACTTGGCTTTCGTCCTCCCTGACTTCCTTCTTCATATGGCTTTAATCGATATTTTGCCACCCGTAAAGCCGCTTGCAAAGCGATTGGTATGGCCCATGCAGCATTCATCTCACTGTCCGCACTTCTGTCCTATCAACTATGCTGCCTGGAGACTGTGATGCCCCTATGCCAACAGAGTGTGTGGTGTTGAAGCATGCTGCAAGAAGGCATCATCAGCCCTGTAGTCGTCTCGCTGCTGTGTTCTTCCTGGATATGTGACTGGAGCAGGCAGCGACTGGGCGGCTTTGTCAATATGACGGGCTCGGCAATGCCAAAGTGGCATGACGATATTCAACAAATCATGAAAATGCCAGGAGAGCGTGTTCCCTTGTAGTACTACTACGGAACAACACTAGAGGAATGTTTTAAAAACAACTTCGCACAATCCCTCTACAGCCCTGTTTGTACCATGGTTGAATTGCTGGTCGCCTGTGAAAAGGAAGTTCGCATACAAAAAAGCTGCGCTTGCATGGTCTTTGTCTTCATAAGGAACATCAATTGTTGAAAGGAAGCCACTGTTTATCACTGGGTTAAGGTTCGAGGTTACTGGCTGCGAGAGATCGTCTGGCTGTCCAAATACAAGGCCTTCTGGGAAGACATGAAGGAATGCCACCACGTTTACCACAGTTTCGGCAATGAGTGGGATGTATCCATGCTTCTCGGTCCTTCAGGCGAAGTGGACAAATGATACAAAGGCTAGAACATGCTCACTCCAGATTCAATCTACCAAGATTCGGTCTTCAATGAGGACGAGGACGAGAATGACGGATGGGAGACACAGATAGCTCCTGACACGGCCGCTCCAAGTGTAAGTGACCAGGCTCTTACAAGGGCTCGGTCAAGATTTCCTGGCGCAGGCAGTGTGTTCACGTTCTCAGCGCGTTGCCCCAGTCCTAGACGAAGAGCAGTGGGAGACGCCATGGCGCTCTCTGCCACAGCTACAACACTGCTCAGTGGCAGCAAGACTATGTATAGTGATGCAACTGTCGACACCGAAGACCTCATTCCCATTTTCGCGGCGTGTTATGGATTTCATGCAGAGCCCTCTTACATGCCCACTAAACGCGAAGAAGATCAGAAGCTGGATACAAAAACCGTCATGCAGCTTTTTGCTCAGCTTCCACACTCTGGCAGTTTTACAGGACCTGAACAGCCGGCTATTCACGACTTTGTCAACCATGTAATGCTCCGCTCGTCTGTCACCGTGGATTCCCCCTTGGGTTCACTGTGCGATCTCCTCCCGACATGCACTCGACACCTCGCTCTGCACAAAGCAGCTTCTACCAGATTGCAATGTGATACACAAGGGTCCGTGCTGTATATCTGGCGGTCCTCTGAGGACACGGCAGGCAATCAGTCATGGATGCTGGTGATCATCAAAGCTGCGACTGCTCTCGAGATTGTTCGGCACAAGTGGGGACCGGAGAAGGAAGACAACGCACAAGAAATAGTCAAGCATGGCATTTCTTTCGTGATGCTGTGGCCATTGTCCGCGACATGCCAGCTTGTCAAACCACCTCCCATTGGCGGGTGGCAAGGGCTTGGATTCAGGGAACTGGGCTATCAATCAGAGGTTCTCGACTACATGCTTTATTTGGAGCGCTGCCGCGCTGTACTGCGTCATCCAAATATTCACTTAGCCTTTGGAAGAGGTGGTATCATATGGCGCCTGGCGTACGAAGAGATGGACTTGAGCAGAGTGTCGTTTGGACCTTCCGAGGAATCTGACGAGAAGGTGGTCCACTGGCTCAAAGGTGTTGCGTACGAGGATGCCACCCTTTCCGAAGACAACTTGAATCACATCTGCAGTGTTTATCGCATATATGCCAGTGCATCAAGCTTGCTACACTGATATTTATTGGCTCACAGCTTATTTTCAGATTCCACTCATACTTTTGCGTCGGAAAGCTCCTGGTGGCCGAAGGACTCGACTTGGAGAGAGAGCGGGATGCATGTTGGGTACTGGACAAAGATGAACGAAGAATGGTTTGTGCATTGTCAGAACTATCTGCAGCAAGGCATACATGAAGGAAATAAGAGTAAACTAGACCTCAAGAATGCCAAAGCTTGGCATCAGGCCCTCCGATACGAGTCGAACAAGCAATGGGACTTCCTATGAGAGATAGAAAGCCTTTCTGCTGCGATTCTCGCATAAATTATCATGTAAAGACAAGCGTGTATTGGTGTATTGGCTAATTGCATTCATTGCTCTTGTTTCTTTCGATCGAATTCTGCGTATAATACGCCATGAAACTGAGACAAACAGGTACAACGAAGACATGCAAAAGAGAAGGGAAAAACAAAGCACGCGAAAGCAGGATGAACAATGGTATGTGCAAAGGACAGCAACAGGGGAGACATGAACGGCTAAGATATGAACAGATGCATACCATGAGCTCATATTCAAGGAGACTCATGGGGTGGCTAAAGTAGACTCACCGCAACTATTCGACTGCCTGAGCTGCCTGAGTGGCAAAGTGCTGGCTCCTGCGACGCTTAGCCAATCGCTACTCACGGTTAGAATTGGCGACCTCGAGCCGGAAACTAGCCCATAGCTCTGCATCTGTGTAGCCGTAGGCGATATACCGGTCCTGGATATCGCGCAATGCCGCCCTCCACCTGCCTAGAACATCGTAAAATTTGGTCCACTTCTTGCCATGGTGCCATGGGATGCCAAAAGTTTCCATGAACTTATCAAAGCGGGTGAGGGGAGGCTCCTTGCTGGCAATGTCAGAGCCATTGCAGGCTCGAAGCTCGCACTGCGCGTTGTTCTTTATGTCTTCCTCAACCATAGTATCCCAGTTGCTGAGATATAGCCCAAGATCTGTGATGTGGAACTGCTCAGGCCAGCGTCATTGCCTCATAACAGACCCATGAGAGCCGGACTTGGAAGGCAATCAATCGCTGTCATTACCAACGTCATTTTGAGGCTCGTAACCCTCAGTGCCACTTTGAATCCCAGGGCTACCAGGCTCACTTTTGATGCCGTAGTCGACAAATTCCATGCTGGCAGAGCGTGCAGCGGCGAGCAAAGGGGGCGAGGTTTGCTCATCGGCTGTTGGTGATGTAGCTGGCGGAGCAGCCGTGGGAGAGGATGGTTGCTCGGAAGGCCATGAGTGGTGGCTACAATGGTGAGTGCGAACAGGTCGACACCCATCTGAAGAGTCAGAAGAAATGACAATGATTGTGTCATCTGCTTCCTCGTCTGAGGGCCTGTAAGGGTTTTTTTTGCTGAGGTCCTCGCAAAACTCCTTGAAGAGCCATCCAGACGCGGCTCTTGAAGACCCAGACCGCTGAGGCGATGGTGTCTTCTTGCCGGGAAGAGACATTGGGAACGGGTGAGGCTCCAGCTTGACACAGGGCCCTGTTACCGTTGCGGCAGATGCAGACTCAACACTGACAACCGTGGTTGAAGACTCCACAATGGCTGATGGCAGCAATGACAAAGTGATAGGCTCAGTCTTGGCAACTGCAGCGGAGGATCCTGCGCCAGCTGACGATGACGACGATGCATATTGCTGTGGTGGCACGACGATCTTGCGGCGAGGCAGAATCTTCTTGCAGACAGGAGCAAGAGGAGGTGGTGAAGACGAGCGGTTGAGAGATGCTGGCATCTGAACAGCGTGCTTGTCTTGGGCAACAGCAAGTATGAGCCAGATGACGATCCCCCGTGACTATAGCAGCGCTTTGCTTT